TAAAATATCAAGCAACATATCTCCCAGTTTGATGAACAACTATAGCCAAATAATAAAGCATGAAACAATATGATACAGCTAAATAATAAACCATTAGACAGCATGATATCTCCCAGTTTGATGAAAAAGTACAGCTAAATAAGAAAGGATCAAGTAACATGATGTCCCCAAGTTTTATAAACAAGTACAGCCAAATAAATAGATCATCAAAGAGCATAACTCCCAGTTTGATGAACAAGTACAGCTAAATAAGAAAGGATCAAGTAACATGATGTCCCCAAGTTTTATAAACAAGTACAGCCAAATAAATAGAGCATAAAAGAGCATAACTCCCAGTTTGATGAACAACTATAGCCAAATAATAAAGCATGAAACAATATGATACAGCTAAATAATAAACCATTAGACAGCATGATATCTCCCAGTTTGAAGAACAGGTACAGCTAAGTAATAAAATTTCAAACTATATGATGTTACCCAAGTTTGAGAACCAAATGAAATAAAAGTCATACTACACATTTTCATCCAAAATTAAATGATCATGTATAGCTGAACTAAAAATGCCAACTAGATGATAACAGAGTCAAAGTTTGATTGCTAAGTACAGCTGAATTAAATAAATATCAAACTATATGATATTACCCAAAATTTTACAAACAAGTGTAGCTGACTTAAACAAATGTAAAAATCCATAATATCACTCACTTTGATGAGTAAGAGAAAAATGTCAAACTGTGGTAAATTATATTAGTCAGACCAAGTACAGTTGAACTACAAAATTATAGATACATATCAGCCATGACCTAATATATTTGAACTAAATAAGTAACAAATTAAAAGAAATGGTTCAGTGTTGTTAAAATCAGTTTATTATAAATGAAAAGTTTCTTACTTAGTTGGTACTCGAGGGCTAATGTTGATAGATGGACCAGGCTTCCCATGAGATTTGGGGAATATATCAACCCACATTTCAATCTTTCCCTATGACATTAAATTAAATGTCTCTCAGGCAACAAAATAAAAAGTAATGCATTAAAACAAATCTTGTAGTAATATTGGACAAGGTATCACAATTACAAACTATTGCTATTAAATTTTTTTTCTTTTTGATGTATCTGTATATTATTAACTACACTTTAAGATATGAATAATCATATATTTAAATAAATATCACATGTATACATTTCAGCATTAAAAAATTGACTGTTATTTCTATTTTATAGCAAGCTTCTTTTCACACACACACAACAAGACTTGTTTTTACAATTTTTGTTTACTTAGCTATTATAATCTAATTTGTAAATGTCCTACTAATTTATGAAAAATTATTCATATCAAATCGACTAAGTAAGTGCCCAATTTATTTTAATACATTTCTATTGTAAACAGCTACACATTGGCTATAAATCATAATTTCATTTATGCCATTTTTTTGGCTCAATAAGACCTTTTCATAACAATTGTGAAATGTTAGAAATAGTATTTTCAATAGCATTTGCCTTAATACTTAGCCTGTTTTCTC